TTTCAGCTGCAATTAACATATGCCAACAGGTCTAACGGCAGATTTAGAGCTGCGACGCTTCCACCGGACGGGTGGCAGCATCCTTGGATGGCTATAAACTGTGATTCAAGCCCAAAATTCACCTTTTTCTTACCAACTTCCTCGCAAGCAGGCAGCCAAGGTTGAGCTCACTGCCTGAGCGTGGTGGTGGTTGAACGGGGGGGCTGAGATAAAACGCAAGCGGGTGTAAAAACACACACACACACGCTTGGCCCCAACAGCAAACGATGCTATGCTCTGCTGCTCTTTCCAGAGGTTCTCTCCCACCGCTGGGAAAGGAGGCAGTGTCAGGTTGAGCCTTCCCCAGAAACACCCATCCGGGGCCTTTCTTGATGCTGTTTATCAGCAGCTGCCTGGCTGGCTCCAGCGAGTTAACGCAAAGGACCGTGCCTGAAGGATGTTCGGATGTTGTGGGGACCTGGCTTCACTCCCTCCATCTCCTCTTCCCACTACCTGGAAGCTGCTTCTTAAACAGGGAGCACAAACATCACAAAGCTGCACTTTCCAAAGCTGGGTTTTCCCCCCCAAAAAACAGCCCACGGTGCTGCTGCAGGTGTCCTCCAGCATCACGACGAGGCTGCAGGAGCCAAGGTCACTTCCCTGGCGTGGTGCCACCCGCGGCGCTCCCACAGGAGGCCAGCACAGCCCTTCTGAGCAGCCCTGCTGGGACAAGTACCGTCAGCGAAGTGCTGAAATTTCCTTTGAAAACCTGTTTTTGTCACCTAACAGCTTCTAGGTGGGAGGCAGCACACCCAGCACCTGCAGGAGAGGTGCTGGTGTCGAAGGAGGATAAACTTCAGACTTAGGCTGGCCCGCAACATCCGTTAGTGGCAGGCTGGGCTCTCTTCCTGCGGCCGGGAGGGTTTCACAACCCGGAGACAGCGAGGGGGGGAATGACGAATAGTTTCTGGCAGCCCGCAGCCTTCCGTGGCCCCACGGCGGTGCTGTTACCAGCAGGTGTCAGTGGTGGCTTGGCAAAGTTCAGCCCAAGCTCAGGAAAGGACAAAAGCTACCAGAAATAAAGCTCTGGCTACTTGGGGCACTGGCCAGCTCTGGGCTGTGATGCTCAACAGCTCCGTGGTGGCGTTGCCAACGATCTGTGTGGCTGGTGGGGGGGTTTATGTGCGTGGCCAGGCCGTGCTCCACATCTGGGCTTCCTCCGGTGTGAGGACCAGCTCCGATTTCACTCCTCGGGGCCACGGTGGCATCAGCAAGAGCTTCGCTTTCCCAGGCTGGATCATGCAAACAGGGAGGCTTGAAATTTGGGCTGTTCTTCCCCCCCCCCCTCCCAAGTTTGGGAGGGGTGTGGATTTCCTGGGAGAGGGCAGCCCGTTCGCCACGGAGACATCCAGAGCATCAAAGCCACGACCAGGAGAGAAGGAGGTTGCAGTCAAGGAAACGCAGCCTGACTCATCCGCTCGTCCCGTCTCTACTTACGTCACGCCCAAAAGATGCTGCAAATAACTCCAAGGACCGACACACTGGGACCAGTTGAGCCTCAGGATGGGGCTCCTGTGTGGTGGCAGCATTAATAACCACAACGGGGGTGGCTGTGGCTGCCTGGACACCGAGGCGGAGAGAAATACTGTGACAGCGACCAGGCTGGGTCTGACTGTTCAATGTCATTGGGCAGGAGGAGGGGAATTATTTGTTCCCCCTAAAGGGGACAATTTTGAGCCCTGCTTGGAAATCTTGGCTGGGCCCTCCCCTACCTCATCAGCAACATTCCTGTGCTCCCTGCAAAGTTTAGCAATTTTAGGACAAAACCTTTTCAGCTGCCACCCCCTAGCTCTTGCAACACACGTTTACAGTCTAAAACCAGCACGGAGGGAACCAGGGAGGGTTGGTTTGGTTGGGTTTTGGTTTTTTTTTTTTTTTTTTAAGCTTTATAAACCAACAACAGCTTGCGTTACAGCGACAGATTAGAGATTTCCCTGTCGCGTATGTGCTGTCCGGGGAGAGCTGCTGTAAAAAGGAAGGAGAAGACACACACACTCTCCCCAAAATACGTTTGGGAGGGGGAGACTCCAGCCCTGATGTCTTGGAATGGCTTCAATCTTCAAACATGCAAAAGCCTACGCAGCATTTTATAGTCTGTTGGCATGTCATATGGAGGGGAAAAAAAAAAAAAAACCCAAATCCTCCTTCTGGTAATCTATGGCTCGCATCTAATTAAGTTATAAATAAATTACGGCAAGAGAAGACAGATCTTGTATGTACACGCTTCATTCTTCACATATCAGGACGCGCCGAAGTCTCCAGAATATTGCAGTTTCAGGAGAAAGCTTGGCGGAGAGAAACCAGCTGGATAATTTATGTTTATTATCTCCGCTAATATAGATTACTTCTAAGACTAAAGCTTTCATGAAGGCTGCCAAGCCCCTGGTCCATGCTCAGGTCATTGAAATCCTGAAAAAAAATGTATTAATAGAGCAAGGAAGGGGGGGTTAATCCTTGGAAAACCCTGGGGAGCAAAGGACTTGCCTGTGGGGACAGACGACAAGAGTTGACCTTGCTTTGCTGTGCCCGGCTCCTGTACCCGCTCTGTCTTTGCTCCATCAGCATGGGGTGGGGGTACCTCCAAGACCCCCCCTCCTAAGAAGAAGGGCAATTGTTTGCCGGCCTCACACAAAAAGGACCAAAGCGCCTGAGTCTTGGCATGCAACTTCTCTCAAGACAAGGTGTTTCTTGTCTTCTAACTGCTCATCGGAGGAAAAACGCTTCGGTTTAGTCGTTTTATTTAGCAAACTAAAACGAGGTGAGAAATGCCCTGTGGATAGGAGAGAGGAGCATTTTTAGATCCACCCCAGCTGACCTCAGGAGAGGGGAAACAGACTCGATGTTCATTTTTACAGAGGATCTGGCAAAAAAAAAATCCCAACGGTTTCTTGTGCAAATTCTGCAACATTGGCAGCTGCAAGTCTGCAGAGGCAGAGGAGGAAGAGGAGGGCGAGTCGTCACCACGCCGAGAGGGGCACGCACGACAAACCGATGTCACCTTCCAGATGCGACGAAAAGAGGCAAGAGGAAGTTTTAAGGTGAAAAGAAAGAAGGAGGAAGTTTTAAGGTGAAAAGAAAGGGCCGCAAAACCCATCAGCACGCAGCCACGGGGCTCCCTCAACCTCTTGGCACATCTCCACTCACAGGGGACGACAGACAGCAGGCATGAGCCGGAAAGAAAAAAAAACAACAACCCACCCCAATCAAACCTTTCTAGCTCACAACTCAAGTTCTCCCCGCTTCCTCCTCCTCCTCTTTTATTTTGGCAGAGTCTGAAAGCCCGAGGTGGCAGCGAGCAGCGCTGCTGCTCTCCCCAAAACACACCGCGCTCTGCTCCAGACAGATCAAAGACAATTAAGCTGCACTTGCTACACAAAGGAACAAAGTCGGTTTTGTAACGCAGTCCCCTCGATTTTTATCTCGTTTGATTTCCTCGCTAATTTGCAAAATGAGTTAATCTGCACTAGGAAGTCATTCATGTAAATTAGCCAAGCTCTTGCTCGGCGTTATGGATGGTGGCGCGGGGAGCGCACGGTGCCCGGCTGCGTACCACGGTGCAGTTTTGAAGTCAGACTGCAGCACATTGTGTTTTAATCTGGAGTTTAATGACTTGAAAAAAACCACACGGCGAGTTGGGCGATATCCTTTAATTGTTGGAGGTTGCTGTGCGTCACAATAAATTACGCTTCCTTTGGAGAAAAAGAAAATACGGATGGAGCTGACGGGTCAAGAGCGAGGTGGGCTGCAAGGACAGACGGAGCCGCATCCCCCCAGCCCCGTGATGTGCTGGAAAGCCACCTTGTCCAGTCCGCAAGATCCCTGACCCCCCCCTCCCCACCCCAGCACTTGCTGAATACCTTGGTCATGACGCAAACTACAGAATCCCAGAATCACCCAGGTTGGAAAAGCCTTTGAGGCTCCTCCAGCCCAACCATGAGCCTCCCCCTGACCCTTCCCAACTCCCCCAGATCCCTCAGCGCTGGCTCAGCCCGAATCTTCAACCCCTCCAGGGATCCCGGGGACTCCCCCCTGCCCTGGGCAGCCCATTCCAACGCCCAACAGCCCCTTCTGCACAGAAATCCTTCCTCAGAGCCAGCCTGACCCTGCCCTGGGCAGCTTGAGGCCATTCCCTCTTGTCCTATCGCTTACTACTTAGTTAAAAAGACTCATCCCCAGTTCACTGCAACCTCCTTTCAGGTAAAAAAAACAACAAAACAACCCTGAAACACAACTCTCCTCTCCCTTTTAATTCCACTCTGGATAGCTGCAAAACCAGTGTGAAACCTCTAGTTCTGGCAAAGCTGTCACTGGGGGGGCCCTGCCAGCGTGAACCCTGGAGCACCTTTACCTCGTAGTACAGGCAGGTCCGACCCAAAAAAAGAAATGGGGTTAGTTAAGAAGAGAAGTCCCTGACAGGAGGAGGAAAATACCCAGCTGAGAGGGGAGGGTGATCCCCGTCAGCACGGAGGGGAGCCCAGCCCCAAAGCACACCCAGGAGACGGGAAAAGCCCTGCAGGCATCTCCCCACACCTGAACCCCCCGTATTCCTCCCAGCCAGCGCAGACAAGGGCGGATGTTTTTTCCGCCTCTAATGACGCCCCTCTGCAGTGAGGGGGGAGCTGGTGCCCGTATCACTCTGAGCATCTAACCCAGACAGGCTGCGCTGGGACGGGGCTGGACAGCAGGAGCCTCCCCACAGCGGGAGACAGTGGCCTGACGCTCTGGAATGGAGCCACACTGAAACTACCCCCAGTCCTGGGGCCCCGGAGCCAGCTCCTGCGAGCGGGCGATAAAGACCATGCGAGGAGGAGGAGGAGGAGGAGGCGGCAGCAGGGCTGAGGCCGGCACAGATAAAAGGAAAGGGAAGATCAGAGCCCGGCGAGACGGTCCGGAGCCAGGCGAGGAAACTCTTCTGTGAGGAGTCACGGGGTGCGCAGCACCCAACCAGTCCAACCAGCGTCGCTGCCAACGCGCTCCCATTCCCAGGCGGGTGAGCCCCGGCCTCAAGGAGGAGGAGGAGGAGGAGGAGGAGGAGGAGGAGGGCTGCCCCACAGAGCCCCAGACCCAACTCTGCACAGGGCACAACCTCACCAGGACGAAGCTGCATGGCAGTAACACAGACTCTATATCGGGATCACTCCCTTTTCCCAAGCAGACCCGGGATCTCTTGGGATTTGTGTAATTTTTTTTTTTTTTTTCAGTAAACCACTCTATTACAGCAAGGAGAGAGGTCAGCCAAGGAAGCTGGGAGGGTATTTAAAGTCCAGCCCAGCTAGAGTTTAGAGAAGGAAATTTCACAATACAATTATTTTCTGACGTGATGTCATGGGCGTAATGAAACAAACAATTACGGCGCGTTAAGGAGAGATCCTGTCAGGGCTTGCTGGCCCGAGATTGATTCCGATTTTCCCCTCCCCTCCGCAGATGATGCCATGTGGATGTCTCATCAAGGCCCTGCTACAAAGCTTCCCTTAAAAACAGAAAATAGGAGACAATCAGGTCTTTGTGTCAGAGCCCCGACGGCTGGGAAGAGCCCTGTAAGAACAAAGTCGCAGTAGAGAGCTGGGGGATGCGTTTGATAAACAGATTTCAAAGGGTTACTTCCCCCACGAAGGCTGTTTTTTTGTTTTTTTTTTTCTTACCAAGGATGTCCTTGCTACCTCCCACTGCTCAATTTGACCCACACGCCTCCGTCCAAACGACAGACAGAGCCCCCAAAGGGAGCCCGTCCTGCCCAAACACCCCTGGGAAGGGGCATGGCTGGGGGCGGCCCCATCTCCCCAGTCCCACCAGTGCTCCGGGCACCCTCCTGGCTCCATCCTCCCCTGGAATAAACCATCCTTTAGCACTCGCTAAAGGCCTCGGATGAGGGGGTTTAGCTCCAGTGTTGACCTCACGGGAAGCCACCGCCGGACGCCTGTTTACCCAGCACATACCTCAGCCAGGCAGGGCTCTTTATCTCCGAGGCATGGAGCTCAAAGCAGCAGGACTCTGCCAGGGACAGGTATGTGGGGCAGAGCCACTTCGCTGCCAAAACTAGACAGACACGGAGCTAAAAAAAGTCCCTCTCCTCCTCCCTAAAGCTCAGTCAAAAGGGGAAGAGAAACCCCAGCCTCGCAAACTTCTGAAAATCGCCCCCACCTCGCTTGCCACAGAGCCTCCCCGTGAAGGGGCCTGGATGTCCTCCCCGCCCCCACAAGCAGGCCAGCACCGGGGTGACGTTGGGGTGACGCCGCTCTCCGGCATGAGGACCCAACCGTGGTGTCCGAGTGTTGCGACACCCATCCTTGCACTAGCACACCCACAGAACAGCACCCAAAAAATCTCTTTTTCCTTCAGCCCACGGGCAGCCCTCCTTGCCCCCTCGCATGGGGAACGGGGGCACCCAAACCCTTGACTGGGTTTTCGGGGCGATGCCAGCTGAGGAAATCCCCTCCGCAGCTCCGTGGCTGCCTGCGCCTGGCAGCAGAGCAGGCTGCAAGGCCTGTTTGCCCACATACCAGCCCATTTTGGTCACAGACCTTCTCATGCCACGGGGCTAATTCACAGCCTGTCTAACGCCAAGGAGGAGGCAGCCTGCAAACCACCTAATTAATACAAACACAAGCTGAGTTCCATTCGCACAGAGCTCCGGGCTCTGCCTCACGCCCAGGAGCAAAAAAATCTGATTTTTAAAGACTTTTTTCAGGTGTCATTTTCTCCTGAAGGATCTTTCCCCTCACCGCTTTGCGAAAAGGAAAGGGAAAAGCAGAAAACTCATCAGCGACTCGCCCCCAGCCCTCCTGAGGGCTGAGAGCCACAGGCCAGAGGAGTCCCCCCGCTGTGCCCACGCACCAGAGCGGGGTTCAGGAGAGGGGACACTGACCTGGGTGTGACACCAGAGCGGCTGTCAGCCCCGAAGGAAGCCGAGCTGAACTCTCCGTAGTAACTCAGCTAAAGCAGATTTGCAGGGAAGGGGTAAGAAAGGTGGTGGGCTGCGAGCTGGGGCGCACGCTCCGCTCCCGAACCCCCACGCCGTGCACCCCCTTCTCCCCACCACACCATAACACATGGAAAGACCCAAAAGGCCGGAAAGACCAGCTGCCAGTCTCTCCTTGAAGCAAACCTGGGGTTTATTTTCCATTTGCTTCCCTGGGAAGCGAAGGAGCTTTTTCTACTACAATAAAACCCTTCTCAACTCTTAGCCTCGAGCAGAAAGCGAGCGCAGAAAGTTCCAGCACACGTGGTGCGTGTTCGCAGAGCCGCCGGGGAGGCTCCTCATGGAAAATGTTCAAAAATTTGGACAACTGGCGCAGTTAAGTTGCCATCAGAGAGCTGGGAGTGGGGGGGAGCTGCGCTCGCAGCCCCCCAACGCAGCAGAGGATGGAGACGATGCACCCAGTGCAGGGTCCCGGGGGGGTGCTCAGCACCCACCAGAGAGGGGCTGTTTGCAGGTGGCAGGGGGGACAAACAGCCCCATCTAGAAAAACCTCCTCTAGTTTGGAGTTAAACCACACAAATTGTGTGAACAGAGTAATGCCAGGAAGCTTGCTGTCCCTGTGGCAGCTGCGATCTCATCCTAGGAGCCTAACTTAGGGTCCCATCGAGCTGGGATCCCCGAAAGCCCTTTGAAACCTGAACCCTGCTCTGTTTTTTTTTTAAACGCTAACGACATCAAAGTGTCGCCTGAACGTCACATCCTCTGAGCTAAGGAAGAGCGAGGCCCTCTCTTGGTGCAGCTGCCAGTGTTGGATGGTGAATTCGTCACCGTGGATCAAGAGCTATTAAAAAAAAAAAAAAAAAAAGGGGGAGGAGGCAGTGGCCACGGCTCCCCAGCGTGAGCATGTTGGATGGGTGGTCTCTGGAACGTTCCTCCCTGCTCCACCTCCGAGGGCAGAGCCAGGCACAAATACAGGAACTAGGAGTCACCCACGCGCTTCTCTGGCGCCTCCAAAACAAGCTCGTCTCGACGCAAACAGCCCTGCCAGGCCGCAGGGCAAGGGGATCCCGGCGCACCCGGGCGGGTGAAGACCAGAGGGACCCTCCACCACCTGCATTTCCACGTATAAAAGAGGGGACTTGCCATCAGCCCCCCTCCCACGCCCTCGCCACCGTGTGCTTTAGCACAAGCGGGTCTCTCCGCTCCGGGAAATCCAAGGATCAGGCTAATCCCGACTGCGGCATGGTCTGTAATAAACCCGCGGAAGCCTGCAAGCCAAGCTGCTGTAGCAACAGCCCAAAATAATGCTGCAAAACAACTCCGGGAGAGCAGCAGCCTCTTCTCGCGAGAAGGAAGCACGAGGAGTCAGATTGAGCAACATTTTTTTGCTGCCTCTCAGCTGTGACTAAATCTAGCAACTGCCTTTTTAGCGAGCCAGAACAAAAAAAAAAAAAAAAA